AAAAAAAAAAAAAAAAAACACATCATAGTAAAACCAATACCTTCTCAGCTTCGCATCGAAGCTAAAAGGTATTTGTAAAATTATGTTTATTAAAAAAATTATAAAAGCGCTATCTAAAACATGTTAGGAATTTACTTAAATAGTTTCATGTTTCTTAAATTGAAACGTGAATAATAGTGAATAAATGCATTTATTATCAAATATCCTAACAAGGAGTATTCTATAAAAATATGATACCAATGATAGAATCGCACAAATTATAGTTGTTATCACTATTAACTTCGCCAACCATCGAACACTTGTAATTAATATATGAAAATATTTCTAACATTGTGTTATAAAGATTTGAAATTACAATTTCAGTAAAAAGCGCTTTGAAACGTTATTATTTCTCATGAAAAGAAATCGCTTACTTTTTCCAGTAAATAATATAAAAAGATAATGTTTACTCTCATTTTTTACATAATGTGCACTAACATTTGATACCATAAAAATATTTAAAAAAAATCAAAATTTAACTAACTTTGAAATGCTGTATAAAACGTTACTATTGAATTAAAATAAGATTTTTTGGCATTAAAATTTTTCTTTAAAACTTCTTAAAATATTATAAACATTTTAATAAAAAAATGAATTTATAAAAAATTATATGTACGTCATAATTTATATATTTTGTCAGTTAGATTTGTTCTACTCTCTATATAGAATAATCCAAACACAATTTATACTCGTATATTTATATCCAATCAAAAATTAATGTGAATGTATAATTTTTGGTAGTAGTTTCTAAAAACGATATTTAAATTGTAGTTCTAAATTTTGTTACGGTTTTGTTTAAACTTTATTTATTATTTTTGATTATTTAAAATTTAGTTGTTAAATCTTTATCATTAATAAGATATAATTCTATTTACATTTCTGATAATAAATATAACGGTGGAGAACTGTTAAAGTTTCTAAAAAACGAAAAAAATTATATACATGTAAATAGCAAATAACATGTACGAGGAGGGAGGGTAACTAATAGGACTACAGTCACCTCTCTTCCATTGGTTGTTGTATACAGTAATTACTAAAAACAGTATATGACTTTGGTCTATGTAAATGGAAGTGATAAACAAAATAAAAAAAAAAGTTCTTTAACCTTTTTCCCAATAAATAATCTTGCGTATATCACTGTAAATACCCTTGTACAGTGTAATTTTTCAAAAATTGTATCCTTCAGTTTTTCATTAAAAATGTTTTTTTTTATAAAAACGTACAAATTAAAATTTGAGTTATTTTAATGAACCGATATTAAGTTTATTGTAAGGAAAAATTATTTCTAAGGGTAGATTTTAGGAGTAATTTTCAAAAGTTAAATGGAAACCTATTATTATTTTTTAGCAATTAAATGACAAATGGTCTAAATAAAACGTTGTCAGGTCGATAACCAGTTCTGTATTATTTTTTCCGTATTTAATTTGGTTTAAAAAAAATTGAAATTTTATTTTGTACTTTTATAAAAAAAAAAAACACTATTTAATGAAAAAATAAAAAGTATTATTCTTAAAAAATCACATTGTATATTTGCTCATTTACCAGGAAATTGAACCTTCTCTGGCTGAATGATGTCTAGAACAAAATGTATCAGTATGAAGTTTAATTTTAAATTCTCTTTTAATCTTAAGCTTAGGTCCATGTTTATGAGCTAGAAAAAATAATATATCACGTTTCATAGTGATAGTTTTCAATTGTTTATTTCTTCAAAACCATGTGTACATTTTTATGAGTGACTATAAACATTGTTTTTAACAGCTCAAATAATTTAGTTTTAAAGGAAGTAACTCATTTTTTTTTTCAACATCTTGCTTGCGTTAGTATTCTACTGTTTTATACATTTTCTATTCTAACACTTAACTTCAAAGTTTTATGGTCCATTAAACATGCCCTAACAATTCGGTATAAGATTTCAAATGTAACAAAACGACATAGACAAACAAACTGAGTTGGATACCATTAAAGTCATACGTAAAATTGAAGTTGAAGATATAGATTTCTCGTCTTATGAGGTATTAGAAATATATTTGAATAATGTTATATATTTTTTTTCAAATAAAATTAAATACTATTGAAAAAATAAAATTTAACAATGTAAACTTTTGTATAACATTAAAATGTACTTTTTGAATCTATTTTTAAATGAACAAAAGATTTTTAGGGATTTTAGAATAATAAGTTAGTAAAATAATAGTTATTAGCTTGATCTTAAAACTATAATTAGTTATCAAAATAAATTATTAGATACTTATGAAAAAAAAAAAATTATTCGTAATTAAATTGCATAAAATATAAGTAGTTAAATGGTATAAAAAGTATTTTTTTAGTATACAATAATCTGCTCAATTTTATTTAAAAATACATCATTATCTAAAGCGTTTTTTTTAATGTATCAAAAACTAAAGAAATCTTTACTAAGCATGGCTTATCTTTTTTATTATATTTTAACGTACCTATATAAAGATAAGATGCATTTTATGAATGTATTACCTAAATAATTAATGACGTCCATTTCCGTGAAATAATTCTGCATTAATTTAATCTTTTTTTTAATAGGTTTTAAAGTATTTAGAGTTGATTTGTATGAATAGTAGTATACATAAATTTGTTGAGGCCACGGGGCAACAAGTAAAAAGGAACCCATTATGAAAAAATAAAGCAACTATAATGTATACTTCCTTTTTTTAAAGGGGTTCCTAATTTAATCATGAACCTTAGGCATTTGCAAGCAGTTTTTATTTACCAATGTATGAATACTATGATTTTTGAAAAAAGTCTAAATGTTATCCACATTTGCTGGCTGTGTTTTGGTAATAAAACTTATTCCAATGAACGAGCAAACTTTATTTTTAACATCACTAACACTAATATTTATGTTCGTTTAAATGACTCTCATTGTTATTATTTAATTTTACTTTTTTTCAGTGTTCTATTAAATTGTTATTAGTACTGTAGAGGATAAAAAGCGTTTTATTGAAATTGAAAAAGCTATTTTATTATTACAGTCGTACAAATTTATTTCCAAGCGACTTAGTATTTCTATTAATAGGTACTAATCCAGTAGTTCACTGGCTAGTCATTATTAGAGTTCAGCGAATTGGAATTTTAGAAGAATAATATTTAAATTAGAGTTACAGTAAAGATGAAATTTACATTCGACAGTTTTTTGTTTTAGACATATCATTTTAAAAGTACATATGAAAATTAGTTATAATTAGTGACATCTTAGACGGAAATAATCACTAAATTCCATTTATGTAATGTAAAATTAAAAAATAAAATTTTTATTTTTCATTTTTCGAATGTTAAAGCATTTGTATCATTTACATTAACGCTTTTTAAGCATATCTATACAAAATTCAATTCTTTCTATTTAAATTAAATAAATTATAGGAATATTCGGCAAAATAATGACAATTTTTTT